TTGTTCTCTCTGCAGCACAGATTAAAAATTGAGCTGTAAAAATATGTGTACAAATTACCAAGAGGACAATAGAAAAACAATAATTCTTTGATAACAAGAGCCATCAGGGTCGGTTGTTCTCATTGGAGCCTAAGAAGAAGCCCAGTTAAAACAGGAACGGTAACTTGCTTTTCCATTTACCATTTTTTTACCTAATCCAGTATATTCTCAATACTTTTAGGAATTAAGGTTTTTACTCTGCTACTTGTCCTTTTACTGTTGCTGTTTTTTTTTTTTTAATGACCACTGGTAACAATTTTACTTAGGATATAGCATATAGTTATATTCACATATACATTTAAATAAATAAATACATAATATACACTTGTGAAAGAGCCAAACGGAGGGTTAGTGGGTTCAGTTGGACAAATACGTTTGATATCTTAAGACTTGGTTTTTCTAAACAGTGTAGCTTTTTACATATGAGGTGAGGTTTAGATGTCACATGAATATAACCTGTGAAAGGTACATTTAATTTCTTTTGACATTATTTCCATATTAGTAATGATAGTTTATAGCATAAAGCCCCCAAATGTGGCAATGAGAACTTGTGTGAAAAGTTTTTTTTTTTTAAATTATAGTTGTGTCAGAATGAAATATTGATCCATCATTTGGAATAATGATCTTGATTCTATACCCCATGGTTGATGGTTCAGTAAAATAGTGTGTACTTTTGTGCTCCTTATTCCATACATCTGAGATTTGTTGAGTCTCGTGAATATCTAGATCAAGAAACCATGCTTTTAACTCTTATAGAACATTATTACAAACTAGGATTTGATTCTGTGTTGTAATCTAGGATTGTTTTCCAATCAGATATAATTGGATATAATGAGGAAATTTATTTTAATAAAGATTGGAAGTATTGCATTAAGATGCACAAAGAACGGGAAAACCCGCAAAGCAGTATTTTCAATCCAATAAACTGTATGCTTTAGACCAAGTTCCTCATATCTGAATCAAGCAAATGAAGCATGATTATGTCAGCAAACATGTAAGAATTATTTTACACTATCGTTAGAAGTGGCTAACTACATTTTAATACCTCATGTATTTTTAACAAATGTTATGAAATCCTTATTTCACAAGCACATTGGCACACTACAACTCATTGGGTTAATGGTTTTTAATAGCATGTAAACATGCAGTTTTGTCTTGCTAACAAAACAGGTAGTCTTAATTCTGTAGTATAAAGTAAGGTCATAATAGAAAAGAAAAATGACATCACGGTCTGCTTGCTTGATATAGAATTTGATGTAGTGAAAGAAAATAGAATATTGGACAAAGAAAGCCCCTAATCTTGAAAATGAAGAGTAAATTGGGCTGTAATAGAACTTTCAAATATCAATCTCTTAGTCTTCTTCTGAGCACATGTTTAAAAAATGCTTTTCTGCCAGGTTATTTGATGTTCAGCATCAGATATATAGTCTTTCATCACTGCATTCCTCTATTATTCATTTTAATGTGAAACAGAAGTTTTTCTCAACTATAAAAAGTCCTAGAAAAGAAGGTAGGAAAAAAGTCAAAAGGGGGGTTGGTGGGGAAGAGGAGAAAGTAGCTGCTAAGGTTAGGTGAGTTCCCTACACCTGAAAAACTATGTGTATCATATTTTTAAATGCTACCAGGAAAGAGATGGAAAGACTTATTTCTGCCCTAGTAGCCTACAGATAGTAGAGAATCAGGGTGTTCACTGCTGTCCAGAGTTGCATCTTAAGCAGCTATACCTTAGAGTTATAGTAAACATTTATAGTAATAGATACCTCCTGAAAAGAGGATTTTTTTTCAGACGCTGTAGCCCAGTTCTAGACATCCTCTCCAGAGCAATTTGCTCTGCTCTGTTTTGTGGTCCTTTAAGCATTACGGAAGAACTTTAGCATTAACCATTAAGGAAGGACACCCAAGATGTCCTTTAATCTGGGTAACTTTGATGGTGCTTTACTCTTAATTTTAGTATATTCTTTTTGTAATTATTCTTCAACTGTTGTATTTTTTTCATTGTGCATTGGAAGGGCAGAATAAAAATTCTTATCCTAAATACTTTATACATAACTAGTTCTAAAATTGTTTACTCCATAAGTAACTCCCTTGAGTTCCTTGGGACACATATCTTAAGGATTGTTGCCTTGGTCTGAGTAACTGGAGCATTCCTACAGGGAACAAGAAGAAGTCAGTTGAGAAGTGCAGATGGATTCTGTATGGACTTTCCAAGGTGGCATTTTGTTTGTGTTGTCATTTCATTATTGCGGCTTTGAGAATCAGCTGTTCCAGTAAAGCAAATCCATAATTTAATTGCATTGCTAATCAGTAATTAAAACATTGGACAATTGGAACCTGTTGCAGGAGTCATTCTCCTCTTTCCATCACAGAAACTGAGTTTTAATTTGTAGAACTCTCATTATAGGCCATTGTCTGACTTCACTCACAGAAGTACTTACTGATTATTTAAGAAAAGAGAGAAAGGAAAATAGAAGATTAAAAAAAACAACAACCACATGAAAATACCACATAGAGGCATTTTAACTCACTTCAGACTCTATGATCTTGAGATCCTTACTATTTCAAACTTGAAGGACTGCTTGAATTTTTAAAAAATCATTTATCTGACTCATTCCTTCATTCCTTGGGTCCAGTGGGTTTCTGAGAGCCCTTCATGCTGGAACTGCACATTGGAACTAGACATGATGCAAATGCAACACTTCCCCAATCAGCACTGTGCCATCTGGAGAGCACGTCAACATAAGTTGACCTGGACAATATTCCTGACTTTCTCCCACTGACCACTGAGCATCAGATTTTTCTTTGGGATTGATACAATTCTCTTTCCCCCTTGCTTATAATATTTTGAATGAAAAGCAGGCTGTAACCAAGAGCAGAAAGCAGATATAATAATCCCTTTCCTATCAATAGAAGACACAAAATGACTTGCCATTCTAATCCACCCTTGCACAGGAACATATGCCCTATGAAAAGAAAGTGTGTATCTGGTGTCTTTTCATGATATGGGGGAAGGGGACTAGAAGGGGATGAGATTTTGATTACAGGTAGTCCTTGTTTAGTGACCACAATTGGGACTAGCAACTTGGTCATTAACTGAAGCGGTCACTAAGTGAAACCACAATTATGCTTATTATCTTACTATAGCTTTCCTTTGCTTTACAGACCTGGGAAGGTCATAAATGTGAGGATTGGTCATAAAGTTACTTTTTCATCACTGTCCTAACTGCAAATGGGCACTAAATGAGGCAGTCACTAAACAAGAACTACTGTACACCTTTCAATTAAATAAAAACAATTAAAGTAACAGATAAAAAACTACAGATCTCTTTCTCCTTCTCCACATCTTTTTTCTTCTTCCTCTCTAAACATGTATTTAAACTGTTCAGCATTTCCCAAACCTTTAGACAAGCAAAGCACTTTTTAAAATTAGAATTGGGAACAATGCTTTCCAGTCTAATTCCAAAAGCTTTGCTCTGTAACTTTCTTGCCTCAAGATTTTTAGTTTTCAAGTGATTGTATATTTCCTAGGCAAATCTAAATAGCAGCCTGTCTACCTTTAACAGGACTTCCTTCATAGTTTCCCTAAGAGATTATGTTGATTTAACCCATCCATCCAGGGACTCTCTTTGCTTTTGGATATATGACATACTTCCAGGAAAAAGGATGCTTGACGGACACTAGAGACATACAATCTGCATCCGGCATGCCTCAAAATAATTAAAAAGGCTGACGTGTAGGAGATATTTAAGACAAGCAGTTTCAAAGCACCCTTCTAATGTCTGGGTAATGTTTGGAGAAAAATCTCCCAGAGAACTTCACCATGGACAAGTTGTAAGCCTTAGATGCCATATTTGTCAGATAAAAAATATTTGATTTTACATTACCATGCTATTTGGAACATTCAGTTCCTCATAGGTATGTATTCCCAGTGCAATCTTGTGCCGTTTTTAATCACTTATTTTTATATCAGAGATAAAAGGATTTGGTTGTGCAATAAAGGAACAGGTTGTTCTAAGGGGTGGGTGTGTTTTGTTTTGTTTTTGCTTTTGCTTCCTAAGTGATTATTTAATATGGAGTCCATGCAGATTGTAAATGACAGAAATATGTATTTTTTGAAATCTTCCAGTTACAACAAC